GTCATTTTCCTTTCTTTCTCTTTTCATGTTAATCTTTTGTATTTACACATTTGTTTATAATTACTTGCTGTATGCCTATGTGACTCGTACTACCCGCGGATCTATTAATGATCCTTACACTCACATTACTCAGCATTCAAAATCATATCTATTTATATTCTTGTTCTTAAAAATCATTAGCCCTATACTGACATTATACACATAATAGCTTTATATTAGTAATGCCTGCATTAGTTACCAGTTGCTAACAATCCTGATTTCAGTCTACACAGATTGGGTATCAAAACTTTATCAAACAAATTTTCCATCTGAATTTCTGGAATGAGCATTATTTACACTATTTACATTCAGACAATTGTCATCACCTTTTGTACCACATTTTGGCAATTGTACCCTTCACCATAATCAGCCAAAATGTTGTGATAATAACAGCAAAGGTGAGGGCAACAGTCTGAATGTAAACAAACATTTTATGTGTAAAAAAAAAAAAAGAAAGTAATGAAAAATCCCTTATTTAATACCATATATTTCCGTGTACAAGATGACCTTGAAATTTAAAAAATCACCCCTAAAAATTGGGTGGGGGTATACTACAGTTCTAAAGAAGAAAAAATATTGAGAGTGATGTTTGTCAGTAAGCTAAACTCAGCCTCAGGGCGATAACCAATAACATTCATGAAAAGATTCACATTATCAAATAAACTGATAATAAAAGTAATAAAACTATTTCTACTTTATATATTCCTGGCATAACTTCATAATAAATTGCCTATTTGAAGAATAATTTCATATCAATGAAATCAACTTGTATCCTTGCAAGCTCAGCTGAGAAAATGTAAACATTGAATTATGATTGCGTTCACAGTAATGGAATGTACTATTATTGTACTGTTATTAGCGGTATTTTGTGATTTTCAATAAAGTATAAGTAAATGGCCATTAGTGCACCAGGCTGTTTGTAACTGCTTAAATATAGAAAAAGAAGAAGAATCAGTATTTGCAAGAAATTATGTGACGTAAACAAAACAATGGATGCGTGTAGGAAAAATATGATATAGATTAGTTTTGTTCTTTCGTTTATTTTGAATTTCGAAAGACACAGTAACAACATTTCCAATAACATCATCTTTATATAATCAATAAACAGTCATCTTATAATACAGGTATAGGATAAATTCATGAAAATTAGCTATATTTTTTATCTTGTCTTATCTAAAGGTCACCTTACACATGGAAGTATATGATAGTTAAAAGTTGTGATTCTGTTTTTTTTATTTTTTGTGTGTAATATTTTATTAATGAAGAAAATGATTAACTCTTAGTGAAGGAGTAGTGATAAAGTAAGTGGGCAGTAACAAGTAAAACTAAAACTTTATTTCTGTTTACCATGTTAAAATATTCTAAAACACAACTGTTTATTATTGATGTTTATTTATCACTCCCCACTGCCTTCTGCCCGTGTTACTAAAGATGTAATTCTTTGCATGGATGAAAGTTTTGACATAATTGTTTACTAAATTTACTGAGTGAAAATTTTTATTCTTAAAAAATTAATGGATTCAATTTTAATCTGACCTTATTTATTATAACTCCAAAATTCACAGACTGCTTGATGTAATTTTCACTGTTTTAAAAAATCAGTGTGTCTACTCAAACATTAATATCCAACTTTTCAATTTCTTTTATACACTAGTGATTTACTAAGTTGTTTTTGTTTGTTTTTTTTTTTTTTTATCATTTCACCCCAAGCAAGGTAATAAAGCCACTAAGACACAAGGGTGAAGGTGAGAGAATATGAGAAAAAAAAATCATTATTAAAAAGAAAGAATGGGAATTAAGACAGAAGATGACAATTGGCATTGCATTTAATAAATGTTTGAAGATCAATATTGATTGATTGGAAAGCAAGAAACAGGAAGAGTTCCATAAGTGAGAAGTGTGAATTTTCTGTAGGGATTCTGTGCAAGTTAATACATACACTGCATGTACAGTATGTATAGATAAAAATATTTGTGTGTACTAATATATATAAATTGTGTGTGTGTGTGTGTACTAATATATATAAATTGTGTGTGTGTGTGTACTAATATATATAAATTGTGTGTGTGTGTGTACTAATATATATAAATTGTGTGTGTGTGTGTACTAATATATATAAATTGTGTGTGTATCTAATATATATAAATTGTGTGTGTGTGTGTGTACTAATATATATAAATTGTGTGTGTGTGTGTGTACTAATATATATAAATTGTGTGTGTGTGTGTACTAATATATATAAATTGTGTGTGTGTGTGTACTAATATATATAAATTGTGTGTGTACTAATATATATATATAAATTGTGTGTGCACTAATATATATATAAATTGTGTGTGTGTGTGTGTGTGCACTAATATATATAAATTGTGTGTGTGTGCTAATATATATATAAATTGTGTGTGTGTGTGTGTGTGACATAAATAATTAAATGTGTGTACTAATATATATAAATTGTGTGTGTGTACTAAATATATATATATATATATATATATATATATATATATATATATATATATATATATATATATATATATATATATATATTATGGCCGAGGGTTAGAACATTCACTTTCTGACCCTGAGACCCAGGTTTGAATCTCACCAGGGTCGATTTGTCTGGAAGGAGACTTCCTGATGTTATAGGAATGGAGGGATCGATCCTAGTATGCAGCACACATGGAAAACATCTGAAAACCATACCACAGGTTGACCCAAGCCTTGTGAGTGAAATTGGGTAGACAGTACCCCTAGAGGCCATCGATAGCTGTGCTAGCACAAAGTCACAAGTCCTCATGACCGAGGGTTTGAGCATGCTGACCTTGTTCAGAGTGTTGATCACACTAGATAACACACTCTCTCCCAGAAACTGTAACTAAGGTCTGCTCAGCATAATTGAAGTATAAAGCACAGGTGGGCTCTGTGGGTGTTGAAAAAACACAAAATCGCACCTGAGATAGCGCCTACAATAGGGATTGGCTAGCCACCGTATTAGACCAGTATCCTCAAATACAAGTGGTCAGCTATATATATATATATATATCTATATATATATATTCTATTTTTTTTAACAATTTCTTAGTAATTTTTTTTTCAGTACTTCAGTTGTCCTTTTATTGTTTTATTTTCCACTTTCATGGATGCCATGTTCTTCAGAAGCTTGTTTAGACCAAGTTGATGGTCTTTTAGGCTTCCTCCATGTGAATAGAAGTTCACTTTTTGAATATATGTCGTTGGGGGTATTGGGATTTTAGAGATGTTTAGGTGGGATGTGGCCCCCCAAAAAACGGGTTGGGAACCACTGGGTTAGGGTAAAAGGATAAGTTTTACCCCCACAATCTCCTGATGTGCCTTGTCTCACCCTCACCGCCAGTGAATCAAAGTGCAGAATTTCCTCAAGGTTGATGCACTGAATAATTATCACCAACCAATCTGACCTGTGCACTGAAATTATTTTCTTTTGTGTTATGCCTTAATATCCATGAAACGATTTCCTTTCCTCACAGCCCGTTAAAGAATCTATCAGTTTACCTTCTGCCTTAGCTCATATTCGTTAACTGCTTACCAGGGGGACCAGGGAAAGAATAAAACAGGGGCCAGAATGATGTAGATGCTAAGGTAGAGAAATTACATTTGTCTAGGGAAGTAAGACAAAAGGAAAAAGTGGAAAGTATTTGATTTATTGATTGGGCAAAACAATTTCTTTTGTAAATTGATATTAAACCATTTTTATTTATAGTATATTTCACAAGTATGTTAAGTAAATTGCTGAAATGTTGAGTGCTTACAGACTAGATAACACCTATTTGATTCAAATCTAAGTTCTACTAGCTTTAATCCGTAAAAATTTCAGGGTTTTCTCTACTTGAAATTTCTGATGAATCTTAATTCTTCAATTAATGTTTGAATTAATGTTCATGGCAAGTTCGACGAGAAAAGAATATCTGTAGAAATTCCTCTGTCGCATCATTAAATATTTGAGCCTAACAACTTTAACAAAATATTGCAATAACAATCATAAATATTGAATGCTGGTTGTTATTTTAAGAAGTGAGGGGGTACAAATGAAAAGATTTAAAATTAAAAACTTTTTTTCATTTCACTGAAATAGCCATTAAACATGTCTATCCCTTGTCACTTGTTTATTTTTCATTTTCTTACTGAAACCAAGTAGTGTCTTCCCCTCCCCCCTCTTGCCACATGATCAAAAGATGGAATAGTCCATTATTTAGGAGGTATTGACAGGCAGTGTTAAACACTTCTATCTTACCTTTCTTTCTTTCATTTTCTCACTGAAACCAAGTAGTATTTTTTTTTTTTTTTCATGTGATCAAATCTGAATAGCTTATGTATTGGCAAGGCATAACAGCCGTGAAAACTAACAAAGGGAGAGATAGGCACAATTATTATTATTATTATTTTTTTATTTTTTTATTTTTTTTTTTTTTTAAGGTTTTCACCCCAAGCAAGGCGGGAAGCCACTAGGACGCAAGGGGTTACAGAAAATTTGGAGCAAGATCAGATAGGATGAGGAGAAGGGTAGTGGATCTCTTCCAGATCAAACATGCTAGTTTAAATTCTCTCTCAACATCAGTTGTCAATGCATTTATCCACCATCTTGAAAATTGGTGGGATAGACAGTCTTTTCCTGTGTTACTTTCTCTCATTCCCCTGCCTTTATATCTTTTGGTAAAATACTGAAGTGACGCTTCTTAAATATTTCTTCATCATCATTTAGAAAGAGCAACTCGCTTGTTGTTCTGGGTAACAGCAATGAAAATCTTGAATGGAGTAGACAACATATTTGTTGTTATCTAACTTGGTTTGATTTTTTGGCCTGAAGTCATCCAATTCCCCGTTAATAACTGTGTCTGTCTGACGCTTTTTAAATGAAGCATGTATGTGACTATGGGAATTAGACTTTGATTAACAAATAACAAACTATAATTTATGTGTTGATA